AGAGGGGCGCGGGGGGCAGCTCGCGAGCGCACAGCTCTCCTCCCGTCTCCGCCCTTTCGGGGAAACCAAAAAAACACTGGACATTTGCACACAAACATACACCCCCCCCAATATCGGCCCCTCTCTGCTCCCTCCTCGTCCTGGCTCCGCGCTCAGTGTTGTTTGTAACTCTCCGTGCTCCCGCCTCTCTCCCTCTGCAGCGTCGTGTCTCTACAGCCCCGGCGCGAAGGATATAAACTGCCGTCTACGCGTCTTGTCCAGGTTCGTCTGACTCTTCCTCCTCCTCTTCCTCTCGGCAGCGGTAGCGGGACACAGCGACAGTACTCACGGCCCGAGGTGCGGGGGGTTTGCTCCGGGCGGGAGTGGGGTGGGAGCTCGGTGATCGAGGAGCGCCGCCAATGGAGCAAGTTTAACTGCCGCTGCTACTCTCGAATTGCGCCGGTCCTGAAAAAGGGATTTTAGAAACGCAGAGTGAAGTAGAGAGGCGAATTTTGCGATGGTTGGGCGGCTGGGGGGGTATTATTAAAATCAATAATAAAAGAGATTTTCAGCACAGCAACAGCCAAAGTACTCTGAAGGACGGAGTGAGATGTCTCTAGGATGATAATGCGACGCTGGCAGTCTGTTTCAGTCTGTTTAGTGAGTAGTATCAACAGAAAGAACACAGACCTGTTACAGGTACTAGAAGCACTCGAGATGCACAAATCTCCAGTTTTAGCCAGGCTGTGTTGCCGGAAGAGATGCTGTTCTGAAGCCATTGACACCTCTCTTCTTACAGTCCCTGGAGACAGTGATAGGATAGGAGCTGGGGACTGGAGAGCAGCTGGTGTAACACCCGTCCATGATGAAGAGGGCTCACTGATAGATCCCCAGAGCCTGGTGGGATCTCACCAGCGGTGCTCCTGGCAATGAGAGATATTCAGAAACTATTGACCCTACTCCTCCAACAGTCCCTGAACAGAGACAGGACCCAGGGGCTGGAGAGCAGCTCCTGTACAAGGGAGGGTGAGAGGACTGCACTGAGCAAATCTAATCCAGTACATCAGACTTCTCTTACAGGTGGAGTAATGGAAATGATTGTTAGAACTAAACTAGTTACCACGGCTGGATCAGCCATACGGGAATAATATCCCAGGGAACAATCGATATGAGTTTAGAAAAGACAGGTCTTGCTTGAATAAAACATAAAAGACTTTTGAACCAGGGGCTAAAATAGTCATGGATTCACATCGAGCACATGATAAAGTACTGTATATCATGATTTTACAGAAGGTGTTTGATCACATTTGTCGCAAAAGATTAATCCTCAGATTTAATGAGGCAGCTCAGAGAAATGTATAAATAGAACGAAGAGGGTAAAAATAACTAATGATTGGATGAATTAATGTCAGTGATGTAATTAGTGGAGTACCACAGGGTTCTGTACTGGTACCACTGGTCTTCTTAATTATATCAGTAATGTAATTAGTGGATAACCACACTGATCTTTACTGGGACCAGTGGTCTTCCTGATTATATCAATGATGTAATTAGTGGAGTACCACAGGGGTCTATACTGGAAACACTGCTGTTCTTAATTATATAATTATAGTTATAGATATAGAGTATAGTTAGAAACCTAGTCAGGTTTGCAGGGGATACCAAATTAGGAGAATTAGCTAACACTAAACAGATTCAGTATAATATACAGTATAAAAATGCAATTCAAAAAGATTTAGATAAAATTTAAGGATGGCCAAAATCTAGCAGGTGGCGTTTAGCACATAGGACTATGTTTCATGAATAAAATGGGAAACAGTGAGTTTGAATATACTGCCTGTAAAGAAGACATTTACGTTGAAATATCACTTGTATCTTCTAGACAATGTAGGGAAGCAATTAAAAAGGGCAAACAAAATGTTAGGTTACACTGTTAAAAGTGGTGAACTTGAATCAAGGGATGCAGTGTAATGATAGTATAATTTACTAGTAAGAAGCTCTTAGAATATTGCGTACAATTTCAGTCATGAAGTTACAGCAAAGACACTGCTGCTCTGGAACCAATCCAGAAGCGAAGATCAACCACAGAGGTTCTGCACTGACAGGCTGGAGGAACTGAGTCTATTTAGTCTCAAACACTAAAGATCCTTTCCTCCATTTTCAAACCACCTCTTCCAATTCATTGTCATGGGTGAGCAATCAAGTGTTCAGTACAGCTCACACCTGTAGAAACTAAATCACGAAATCACTCCTGTCTTTGTTCAGTACAGCTCACACCAAATATCAGACTCGAATATCAGACTAGTGCCCAGAGAGGACAGGCTCAGTGACCACAGCCTGTATACAGACAGATCGGAGAGAGCCTAAATCACTCCTGTCACACAGACTGACCTGTAGAGACTAAATCACTCCTGTCTGTGTTCAGTTGTGCAAACATACATACACATGGATTAAAACGTGTGTACACATGTCCAAAACACACACATGCACAAACTGTGCACGCACTTACACACACGTGTCTATACACTTACACACATAGGCCACAAGCGTCCCCAGTCACTAGTGCAGACAGGCTCAGCTCCTCTGTCAGGGTCAGGTAGGACAGCACTAGCCACCCCAGGGAGAGAAGGCGAGGCAAACAAGCCTGATCTCTCCTTCTCTCTCGCCCACATAGGCCACAAGCGTCCCCAGTCACTAGTGCAGACAGGCTCAGCTCCTCTGTCAGGGTCAGGTAGGACAGCACTAGCCACCCCAGGGAGAGAAGGCGAGGCAAACAAGCCTGATCTCTCCTTCTCTCTCGCCCACTCACACTCCCCCTCTCCCTGGACACAGCCGCCTTCCTGCAGCAGCATTCCTCGCCTTCTGGGGGGAGAATCAGGACACATGGATCTCATTATGACTCCCTCCTCCCTTCCTTCCGCTCTCCACCACCAGCACAATTGCTCGCTTTATGGAGAGCTGAGAGCTGCAGTAATGATCAGATCAGATCAGACCACATGGGAGGTCTCTTTATTAATCCCTCTCTCTGGTGCAACTGTCCTCCCCCACTCGAACATCAGACTACTGCCCAGAGAGGACAGGCTCAGTGACCACGGCCTGCACACAGACACTGGACACAGACAGACCTCACTGTCCAGAGAGGACAGGCTCAATGACCACAGCCTGGACACAGGCAGATCTAAATGTCCAGAGAGGACAGGCTCAGTGACCACAGACACTGGACACAGACAGACCTGACTGTCCAGAGAGGACAGGCTCAGTGACAACAGCCTGGACACAGACAGACCTGACTGTCCAGAGGGGACAGGCTCAGTAACCACAGCCTGCACACAGACACTGGACACAGACAGACCTGACTGTCCAGAGAGGACAGACTCAGTGACCACAGTCTGGACACAGGCAGATCTGACTGTCCAGAGAGGACAGGCTCAGTGACCACAGCCTGGACACAGACACTGGACACAGTCAGACCTGGCTGTCCAGAGAGGACAGGCTCAGTGACCACAGCCTGGACACAGACAGATTTGATTGTCCAGAGAGGACAGGCTCAGTGACCACCTGCCAAAGGTGAGAAGCAGAGACAGAGACTGGAAGACTACTCTCTGCTGCACTTTGAGAAATACTCTGAAATTAGACAAACGTTATTCCCCAGAAAAACAAATCAAATCCAAGAATACCCACAGCTGCCAGAATCCAAACAGCTTCCAGTCCTGCTGGGGAGGAAACTCAATAGCTGCAGCCCGGTATGTGACCCCCTGTCACAGCTGGAGAAACAGGGAGGTACAGTAGGCTTCCATATGCAACATGCATTGTCCTGAATGTTTGTGAATGTTTACTAGTTGTTAATGCCTTGGCAACACTGTAATTCAACTATTGTGCCAATAAACCTCTATGATTTTGACACGCCATGTCAGATATTGCTAAACCAGATGTTTCTGCAGCTGGTGTGCAGGACCAGCACTCACAGCGGAGAGAGTGCTCTGGATTCTCTCCAGAGAGAGGAATTCCAAACTGCTTTGGCTCCAGAATCCGTACTTCCTCTCTCTCTCACTCTGCTTTGTCCTTTGTAACAGAAGGCTCCCTGCCAGCTCTTTTTTGTGAAGGGGAGTTTGTCCTTCGCTGACTAATCTGGTTAAACAAAGTGCAGTTATTCTGTGACTCTCCTGTGCTTGTTGGTCCCTGCTGTCCTGTCCGTTTCAATGTGCAGTTTAAACCTTCAGGGGAGTTTGGCCAGAGATCATTGAACTAAACAAACAGACACTCTCCACCTCACTCTGAGTGGATTTTTCTAATCAGCTTGTTTTTTTACTCTTTAGATATTTCTGCTGTAAGTGTGTTCTTTGTGGTTGAATCTTCGCTTGAAATGAGCGTCCTGGCTAAAGTATTTATTCTGAACTCACTGAAACACTATTATTGCACACAGAGCAAGGTCGCTCAGCTCCCTGTGTGACTTGTCTTTTGTGCACCTAAGCTAATGTAGGCTTGCCACAACAAGGGGGCTGCATGCTTTTACAATCAGCATATTTCTGTTTTTTAATTTACTTTGCAGTATTTGCTGACGTTTAACATCTATCACCTATAAAGAGTTTTCAGTCTTAGCATTTAAATTGTGATTAAAAATAT